GAGGCCCTGGGCTCTGCGCCTGGATCGCCATCTCAGACACATTTGCTGGAGGCGAGCGCTCAGGACTCCGAGAAACGGGGTCCTCAGAGGAGCGCGTGGTCGTCGAGGCTGGTGGCGCAAAGATCCGCCGAGGGGCGGTACTGGAGGCAAATTGTGAGGGCGGCCATGGGGGACAGGGCAGCCCAGGTGCACGGGAAGCGGGGAGGCCAAGGCAGCAGGGGGCAGCAGAGAGCACAGGGAAGGCCGAGGCAGAGGCCAGAGGCCAAGAACCTGACGGGGTGGGGTTGGGGTGGGGAGGAGCCCTCAAGAATCCTGAGCAGGTTGGGCCTGGCCTTATCAAGGCTGGTAAAGATCAGTCTGTGAGGGGCAGGCCACAGGGTCCAGAGTCTCACCACATCGTTGGCCCAGCCCTGGGAGGCAGGAGCCTTTGTTTGGGGGTGGCTGGGCATCTCGGGGTCTCACCTCTGCCTTCTTAAATCGAGCCCGAAGGGTCTTCATGGCCAGTGTCTGTGTTCCTCCTTCCCCCAAGCCACCCGGGGAGGGCAGTGGTGGAACAGGGTGAAGGACACCAGTCCTGGTGGATGGCAGGCCAGCTGCCTCCCCTCTGAGAGAGGACCACTTCCTCCACTTGCTCTTCCTTGGGCAGTTCTGGTCCCTGAAGCAAGAAAGGGATCTGCTCCGTCTCTTACCTGCTGTGTGTCCCTTGGCAGGTTATTTGCCCTCTCTGAGTTTCACTTCCCTCATCTATAAAATGAGGGAGATAATTCCTTTTTTGTTGTTGTTGTTGTACTAGGGATTGAACCCAGGGACAGTCTACCACTGAGTCCCACACCCCCCAGCCCTTTTAAATTTTTTTTCTTTTTCTGGACAGGGCCTCATAGAGTTGCTGAGGCTGGCCTGGAACTTGTGATCCTCCTGCCTCAGCCTCCTGAGCATCTGGGATGACAGGTGTGACTACTGTGCCTGGCAATATTTTCTACTTGACCAACTAGTGGTCGATTTCCAGTGATGTCCTTAGCACAGTATGGCAAATAATAGGGGCTCAGTGGATCCACTCTACCAGTACTACGTCTGCCTGTGCACATGGAGCTGGTCTCCAGGCTGTGTGGTTGACTTCCTTTCATTTCTCCCAGTTCCAAAATCCCACGCCTTGACCAACTTGGCCTCTCACTTCTAGGCAGAGCTCCAACTCTGGAAAGTAGCCGCGCTCCCTCCAGGTGGCGCCTTGGTCCCCTCTGCCCTGGCTCTGCTGTGAGGGAGGGTCAGGGCTGGTTCTGCCTTCCCCTTTGTGGGCACTGGCCCCCGCGGAGGGTCCCCTGCAGAGAACCTCCTCCCAGTCCCCTCGGTCTGTTCTCTGGGTGAACAGCAGCAACTTGCCACACCAGGGGTCTGTGGCAATGGCTGTGTGCACGCGTGTGCACACCTGGTCCATCCTGTGCACACATGGCTAAAGCGGCAGGGCAGGAATGGCTGGGGGGGTTGCCAGTGTCGTGTCGGGGGCTCCCCCTGTCCTAGCCGGATCTCCAGGGAGGCGCAGGGAGTGGGGTGGGACGGGCCTCACCTGCCCACAGCTCCTCCAAGTACTCCTACTGCTGGGCGCCCACCTGCACGTCCCCCACCAGTCCTGCTCACTCATCTGGTCACGCTTCACCCACCCCCCATCCACCATCCCCACCCATAATACCTCCACCTGCCACCCACCTCCCCACCCACCTCTCCACTCCCCTGGACACCCTGCACCAACCGATGTGCCTATTCACTCACCACCACCCATCACCCATTTTCCTGCATTCCACCCCAAAGTGGGTGCAATGAGACACCCAGGAGAGAAGCCCTGGGAAGGAGGGGATCTGCAGGCTGGGAGAGGGGGCAGTGCCCTCTAATTTTAGGGAGCGGCTTCCTGAAAAAGATGATGGTCAGCAGGGAGAACCTGGTGGCCAGGGAGCTGGGTGCTAAGCAGTCGTGGCAGGAGAGGTGGCGCATCTCCAGCCAGGTAAAGGCCAGCGGCCAGCAGGAAGGCCGGGCATTGTGAGGGTGCGTGCGTGTGTGGGTGCTGCGGGGTGTGGCAGCCTCTCCCTCCTCCAAGGGGCTGCAGGCCCTACGGGAGCCTCTAGCCCAGGCCTCCCGAAAGGCTTCCTCTCCTACCTCCTGCAGCTCCAGTGCCCTGTGCCAGGCCTCTGAGCCCACTGCGGCTCCGGTTACCCACTTCCAGCTGGGCCACGGGCTTGCACCAGCAGCTTCCAGCACTTGCTCAGCTCTGACACCCGATCAGCTCTGAGCGCTCTGAGCCGCCGCCGCCCCAAGGGGCTGGGGATGTACTGAGGGAGGAGACAGGCTGGCGGACGGGCCAGAGGGAGGACTGGGGCTCTTCTCCATCATCCCTGACTGATCAGTTTCTGGAAGGAGCTGCTTTGCCCTTCCTCCCACCTGTCACCTGCAGCCTCTGCTGCCAGGTGGCCCTTTCCACCCTCGTGTCACCCTCCTTCTATCGGATAGCACTGGGTCTTCAGACCTTTGCTGCCACAGCCCTCCTCCAGGCTGCCCTTCAGGTGTCCCAGGCTGGACACCCTCGTGGCCCTGTGCCTCTGCGCACCCATCACATCTAATCGCAGGTGTCACCATTGCCTGGCCACGTTGTGCCCAGAGCCAGCCCACGGGTAAGGTGGGCGACATCCTCCTTCCCTGGCGTCCCCTGGCTCCAGCAGGGACTGCAGGGGCCTCAAGCCACCGCCCGAAGCCATGGGCCGTTCGTCTAGGCAGCGACGGCCTGCCCTGCTGGAGCAGCTCATCCGCCTGGACGGCCTTCAGACCACTCGGTGGCTTTGAGACCTCCCTTGCACTGGGGTCCTGGGTCCCCTTTCCATGGCACTGTCCTCATGAAGTTCCCTAGTGTGCTCCCTCACTTTGGGGGTGACTGGAGAACTCATGTGGGTGGCTTCCCGCCGGGGCCACCGCGCAAGCCAACCCTGGCTCTTTTCCAGCACTAAATCTGGCGCCTGCGGCGTCACGAGCGGCGCCTGCGTCTGCGGGGCGCGGCCAGCCGCGCGGCTCCTCCCTCCTCCCGGCTCCATTTCCGGCGGAAGCGACCTCAACAAGGGAAACTTTATTGTTCCGTCCGGGCGGCGACGATGTCGGTGAATTACGCGGCCGGGCTGTCGCCGTATGCGGATAAGGGCAAGTGCGGCCTCCCCGAGGTGAGCGCCGCGGGGTTCCCGAAGGCCGACCCCACGGCCGCGGGTGTGGCGGGTCGGGCGGTTGCGGGGCATTGTGGGAATCTCAGGAGACACCCCGGCTAGACAATGGGAGGGACTTCCCAGGGAGGAGGGGGCGGGGCCGAGAGAGGGACCGGGTCGGGGAAGGTCTGCCCGGCTGATGGGAGAGGACGGGGGTGTGATTCCAGCGAAAGCCACGGCAGGGCCCCGGTGGGAGGCGGGCGTAACCCACCAAGCCGGACCGGGACTCGGAGCCAGGCTGGGGCGTGGCCCCTGATCCCGGGACCGGGAAGGGCTGTGAGCCGGAGGGTCGAGATGGCCGGTGGCCGGAGGACGAGTGCGGGGAAGCTGCCCTGCGCACGGGCCTGGGCTCGGAGCTGGCCCCCGGCCCCTGTCCTGCACCGGGCGCACCGAGCGCCTGTGACCGGCGGACGGCACAGGCCTGCCCTGGCCCTCGGGGACTCTGGGGACCCTGGGGACTCACTGGACTGCCTGTCGCCGCGCAGATCTTCGACCCCCCGGAGGAGCTGGAGCGCAAGGTGCGGGAGCTGGCGCTGCTCGTGTCGCGGGCCTCCCACGTGGTGTTCCACACGGGCGCGGGCATCAGCACGGGCGCCGGCATCCCTGACTTCAGGTGTGTGTCCCCGGCCGGGGACCCGGGTCAGGGGGTCCCCGCAGCCACAGCCCGCTGTGCTGCCCCCCGGGGGCCAGAACCTGGCCTCGCCTGGCTGCAAGGGGTGCTGGGAAGTGTGGCCGCACCTGGGGGACAGCGGGCGGTCACACGGGGTTCTGTGGCCACGGGGACATCAGGTCGGGGACATCAAGTGGGCTCTCACTGCCAGGAGGGCGGGGCCAGGCAGCCTTGCCTTGGGAGCCTCCATCTCCTGGTCCTCTGGGCAGGTGGGCCACCAGCTGCCCGAGTCGGGGTCTTGTTGCTGGAAGGGGCGGGGTTCAACCTTGGCCAGACTGTGGCCCTTTCCCAGACCCTCCCAGCGGGACCGGGGTCCCAGGGCTGCTGAGGTCCTGAGGCTGAGCCCTGCCCACCCGGCTCCCCTATCACAGTCACCGGTCACGGGTCACGGTCACAGGGCGCCCTCTGGGCTCAGGTCCAGCCCTGAGCCACTGCCCTGCTCCCCTGCTGTGGCCCCCAGACCCCGGCCTTCCTCCCTCGGGCAGCTGCCAGCTGTGTTTACCCCTCTGGCTGAGTGCAGTGGCCGCCTTCCTCCCCCACAGTCCCCAGTGAGGCCCCTTCCGAGGCTGCCCCAGCTCTGGGTCCCTCCCTGTGACCAGACCTGACCCTGCAGGGCTGGGGGGCCAGAGTCCAGCTGTGTCTCCCCCATAACTCCTTGAGGGCAGGGCAGGGGTCTGCTATGACCCCAGCATCACCAGTGTAGCCAGGGTCAGCCTGACCGGCCTGCGCTCCGAGCTCTGGACCTGTCTTCCCGTCCCGGCCTGCTCTCTCTGTCCCTGTCCTTCCCTCTGGCTCTCTCTCCGTCTGCTCTGCTCTGCCTTCCTCTGATTCTTTGTCTCGTTGGCTCCGATTCTGTCTCCTTTGCTGCCTTCGCCTCTTTCCTCCAAACCCTCCCCCTGCACCTCCAGGGGCCCCCGCGGCGTCTGGACCATGGAGGAGCGCGGCCTGGCCCCCCAGTTCGACACCACCTTCGAGAGCGCGCGGCCCACGAAGACGCACATGGCGCTGGTGCAGCTGGAGCGGGTGGGCCTGCTCCGCTTCCTGGTCAGTCAGAACGTGGACGGGCTGCACGTGCGCTCCGGCTTCCCCAGGTGACTGGCTCTGCCTGCCCCCGCCTGGGGCGCCACACCCTGGGTCCCCTGCTCCTGGGGCTCATCACAGCTCTGCGCGCCCCCGACCCGGGGCTTCCAGGTCTTTCTCCACCTGCTGGAGAAGCTGCCCCTCAGATCAGCCAGGCTGGCGGAAGTGGAGCGTCCCCAGGGTGGCTCCCCTCAGGTGTGACCCCCCTCAGGTGTGACCCCCTTCAGGCATTGCTCCCCCAGGTGTGACTCCCCTCAGGGGTGACCCCCCTCAGGTGTGACTCTCTCAGGTGTGAGTCCCCTCAGGTGTCAGATGTGACTCCCTCAGGTGTGACTCTCTCAGGTGTGACCCCCCCCCCAGGCATTGCTCCCCTCAGTCGTGACTCTCCTCAGGTGAGACTTCTCTCAGGTATGAACTCCCTCTGGTGTTGCTCCCCTCAGGTGTGACTCCTTCAGGTGTGACCCCCCTCAGAAGTGACCCCCCTCAGGTGTGAGTCCCCTCAGGTGTGACTCCCCTCAGGTGTGACCTCCTCAGGTGTGACTCTCTCAGGTGTGACCCCCCTGAGGCATTGCTCCCCTCAGTCGTGACTCTCCTCAGGTGAGACTCCTCTCAGGTATGAACTCCCTCAGGTGTTGCTCCCCTCAGGTGTGACTCCTTCAGGTGTAACCCCCTCAGGAGTGACTCCCCTCAGGT